TTGACTCATCCTGCTCATAAAATGAGTTGTTTCGTTTTCTTTAGAAAGCCTCTGATTAGAGTTTAGATCCTTATTGTCCCTGTGAACATAATGACTGCTGATTGTCTTTGTGCTTTATTACAGACTGTTTTTGTCCTGACTAAATCTGTCATAGGGAAAATGTGACTGATTACCTGTAAACCAACTTCGGATTTATTATTTTGCAAGATTCCAGAAAGAAAAAGCAGAAAAGGAGCGTTTAGGTGATCGTGTTCATAAATGATGTTAAAGACGCTGAGGGTGTGTAGTTCTGTGTCGTTCCTGTGTAGGGCCGCATTAAACATTTGCTTCATTTGTTCATAAAGTTAATAATGATGGTGAGAAACCACAGCAGCCCCTGAGCTGCTGTTTCTTTTTGTGTTGTTGTTAATAATAAGTATTAAATTAGACTTTATCAGTCACAAGCCTTTAAAGTAAACGGGAGTGACTCAGCATTCTGACTCCTGCTTCACCTCTAGCCGTGTCCAAGTACTTGCCAAATGTTGCCTTTAATTTTCCTGTTATTCAATGAAACCATTTCCTTCATACTATTCTGACTGAGTCATCTCACCCGTCCTACCCGAGTCTCGCCAACACTCGGCGTGTTCTCGTCACCACATCCTGAATTTCCTCCGTGGTGTGCCTCTGTTCCTCCTGCCTCCATATTCACCATCTGATGTTCACATTTCTAATCGTGTCCATGCCACAGTCACAGCATCTTCAGTTCTCCTCCAGCTTCGCCTCCTTTCTTTGGTGATGTGATCTCCAAAGCGTACATGATAGCAGGTCTCACTTGCATCTTGTAAATCTCACCTTTTCCTGCTCTCCTTCTGTCATAAGTAGCCCCTGATATCACTGCCTCGCCCTGCCTGCACTCTACCTGCTCCTCCACCTGCTCCACCCCACCCTTTGCAGCTTCAGCCTCATGGCACCTTAAACCCATCTGCCACCCCTGACTTCCTCATGCAGTACCTCTATTCGTCTCTCGGCACGCTGTCATGTGCTTTCTATAGATGTGCAGAGACACATTGCAGCTCCTTTGATCATCACAATCAGTGTTTTCAAATCAAACAGCACATCTGTAGCGCACAAGAAGCCATACTGCTGCTCGCTGATCATCACCTCTCCTCCATGGTTATCTCCCGTACTGACGAACTTACGAGTGATCAGAAACATTGGACATAATCAACACCAAATTGAACCCAACCCTGTGTGCTTCTTCTTTGCATGATGGTGAAATATAGTTTCATTGCACGTTGCATGGATGGTTTTAATATCCATGCCATTTTATTAGGGAAGTGTTAGGTACCTTAATACCTAATAGGGTACTTAATAATAGGTACCATAACCTTGATAAGGTAGCAACAAGTGAAGCAACACTGTTGCTCCACATGTGGGAATATCTCATGGTACTTGCACTAGCAACAGAGGGTACAGAAAGAGGTTCCTCAAACACAGTGAGCACCCAGACATGAGGTGTTTCTGTGGAAGACTGTGGGAACGACACAGGAGTGACCAAACAGCCGGTCCATAGCACAAAGTAAGGAAACCATCTCTTCACGGCACGACGGACGGGCGGTTTGAGGGAGGAGCGACACATGTCGAACTGGAACATCACCAGAGGTGCTTACAGCACCAACTGTCAGCCATCTATCACACAGTCCTGAAATCCCTGCTTTGATGGATGAATGGAGCAAACATGAAAACGTCCCGACACATAAACCTGCGCTGACACGATCGCCTCAGAGATGAAGTATCTGGACTCCCATCAGCATGTAGAACTTGGTGCTTCTGGACTGGAGGTGCAAATAATTCACACAACAGTAGCGTGATATTAGTCGTGGTCTGGTGTTTGATGGCTATTCAGCCACTCAGTGACCTACACGCTGAGCTCCAAGTAAAGTTCTGGTTGTCGTTTAGGAGCAACGTCGTTGGCAGATCTTAGTCTGACCAGAATTAACCTTGTTATAAAACTCTCGTTAGTAAGAAGAAAACCGTCTGTGAACTGGTCACCCTGGAGTTCAACTGCCAGCCTTTCACAGAAGCAGCCAATGACCCGGTGCAGTTGTTGAAGATGCTGTCTTTGGGTCATGTTGTGCAGTAAGATTCTTGTTACGTCTGCACTGTTTGACTTGATGATGTTGTGTGACTCTCTTTCACTAGTGCTTGCATGCAAAGCCACATCAGTACTTATTGTGTCCATTCATTGTTTCCTAGCTAACCTTCTTAGCACGAAAGGTAATGTTATCGAACCAAGCTGACCACACTGACCTCCCAGCTTTTCCTCCATCTCCATGTAACATTGTGCTATTTAAGGTGGAGCCCACGCTCATGCTGTGACGATGAACTCATGCTGTCTTTGTGTTCCTGTTTTTAACCTTTAACTGTGTTTTCATTATGTCAAAGCTGTCCAGATATCCCAAACTAAAGCGATGTGTCTCTGTCCCTCAGCTCGAAAGCAGGAGATCATCAAGGCCACTGAGCAGCTGATTGAGGCCATTAACAATGGAGACTTTGAAGCCTACACGTTAGTCATTAAAGTACTTGTCAGTAAACTCTCACACGTTCATATGTTTCCATAAAGCTAATGAATGTGTTGCCTGTGTTCTTTCAGGAAGATATGTGATCCTGGTCTCACATCCTTTGAACCTGAAGCCTTGGGTAACCTGGTGGAGGGCACAGACTTCCACCGCTTCTACTTTGAGAACGGTACAGTGTTCCTGCGGGACATGGTCTGATGAAGCATCGTAGCTGTCCCAGTTTAGGCTCACATTTCCTGTAAGAAGTGCATCGCGTGCAGAACCCACTGTGGAGAGTGACTACATCCCTTTGTGTTGCACTGCCTCATTCACCACCTGTTGCAGCTCTGACTCATCTATTGTCTTTATTACGTTGGTGTTACGTTGGTGTTACGTTGGTATCACGTTGGTGTTACGTTGGTGTTACGTTGGTATCACGTTGGT